GTGTGTGTGTGAGTGTGTGTGAGTGAGTGTGTGAGTGAGAGTGAGAGTGAGTGAGTGAGAGTGAGTGTGAGAATGAGTGAGTGTGAGAGAGTGAGTGAGAGTGAGTGAGTGAGTGAGTGAGTGAGTGAGAGAGAGAGCGTGAGAGTGAGAGTGTGTGAGTGTGAGTGAGTGTGAGTGAGTGTGAGTGTGAGCGTGTGTGCGTGTGAGCGAGAGTGTGAGTGTGAGTGTGAGAGAGTGAGCGTGTGTGTGTGAGTGAGTGAGTGAGTGAGTGAGTGAGTGAGTGAGTGAGTGAGTGAGTGAGTGAGTGAGTGAGTGAGTGAGTGAGTGAGTGAGTGAGTGAGTGAGTGAGTGAGTGAGTGAGTGAGTGAGTGAGTGAGTGAGTGAGTGAGTGAGTGAGTGAGTGAGTGAGTGAGTGAGTGAGTGAGTGAGTGAGTGAGTGAGTGAGTGAGTGAGTGAGTGAGTGAGTGAGTGAGTGAGTGAGTGAGTGAGTGAGTGAGTGAGTGAGTGAGTGAGTGAGTGAGTGAGTGAGTGAGTGAGTGAGTGAGTGAGTGAGTGAGTGAGTGAGTGAGTGAGTGAGTGAGTGAGTGAGTGAGTGAGTGAGTGAGTGAGTGAGTGAGTGAGTGAGTGAGTGAGTGAGTGAGTGAGTGAGTGAGTGAGTGAGTGAGTGAGTGAGTGAGTGAGTGAGTGAGTGAGTGAGTGAGTGAGTGAGTGAGTGAGTGAGTGAGTGAGTGAGTGAGTGAGTGAGTGAGTGAGTGAGTGAGTGAGTGAGTGAGTGAGTGAGTGAGTGAGTGAGTGAGTGAGTGAGTGAGTGAGTGAGTGAGTGAGTGAGTGAGTGAGTGAGTGAGTGAGTGTGTGTGAGTGAGTGTGTGAGTGAGAGTGTGTGTGTGAGTCTGTGTGAGTGAGCGTGTGAGTGAGAGTGAGAGTGAGTGAGAGAGTGTGAGAGAGTGAGAGTGAGTGAGTGTGAGAGAGTGAGAGTGAGTGAGTGAGTGAGTGAGTGAGTGTGAGTGTGTGTGAGTGAGTGAGTGA